CCTCTGCAAGGGGATCTCCAGTGGCCTACTAATGGGCTTTGGATCTCCACTCCGCACTCCCCCCATCATTCACTATGGTAAGATTTTTTCCATCTCTTTTTTTAAGACATTGCAAGAGTTCCTATTTAATGCTTATAGGCAGTCAGCTTCATCATAATTATCTACACTAGTTTCGTAGGAGCTGTTTCTCTTTAGTTAATGTTTATGATACATGTTAGGCCTGTGTTGATTTTATGTTTTTGTTATACATTCAATCTATTCAATACCATTTGCTCGAATAATTATCTTTCTTCATTGACTTATTTGTAACTTAAAAATGTAAGTTGACTATATTTATGTGAGTCTATTTATAAACTTTTTATTTGTTTCATTAATCACACTATTTTGTTTACTGACCATTTAGAGAAAATTTTAAAATAGAGTAATGTGATTCCTTCAAATGTGTTCTCTTTTTCAGATTTTTAATTTTCTTTTATGTTCTTATCTGATCAATGATAAGCATAAAAAATGAAAATGTCTCCATTCCTGTGCACATTTGGAATGTTACTTTTCCTTGTTTCTTTATTATTTTTATTCTGTCCACTTAAATTCTTATTAGTTTACGGTGAAATTCTGGAAATGTCTCTTAAATTTTTATCTCTCCCATTTCTTAATTCACTTGGAATTTCATTCTTGAAAATTATCTTAGTCAATTCACAACAAACAGTAAACAAACAAACAAAAATGCATTGGTGAGAATGGAGGGAGGTTGGAACAGAGACCCAAAGCTCATCTATGGACAATGGAACATCCCCCACAGAGGGGTCACAGGGAGGGGAGTCAATCAGGATTCAGTAGAGCACTGATGGATCATGCGCTATACCTCTGATCCCTGCAGGCCTCTTCACCCACCACTATCATGACCCCTGTGCCACTTCCCACTCTGGACTTGACGGGAGCATGTACGTAGGTACAGGCAAGAGAGAAAACTCACAACACATGGACCCCAGGAACAGGAGTGGGAACAGAGATACCAAAAGGGTAGGGCAAAGGGGGGAAGTGGGGTGGGTGGCACTGATCACAATCAATGCCACATAACCACACACCCCCAGCCAGGGGGAAGAACAACAGAAACCAGAGGGGAAGGGAGACAGCGGTCGGTGTGAGATTTGAGAATAATTAACAATCTATAATTGATGGGGGAGGAGGAAGGGGAAAAAAAGCTGATCTCAAGGGCTCAATGGAAAGTAAATGTCTGGAAAAGAATGATGGAATATATGTACTGCTATGTCAGATACAATTGATGTATGGATTATAACAAGCATTGTAAGAGCTCCCAATAAAATGATCTAAAAAAAAATCTTACTCTTGATCTTTAGCCTCATTAATTCACTAGTTTATACTCCATAAATTATCATAATTATATACCTAAAGACCAATAGCCATATTTTCATTTCTGCTCTTTAATTGGTTCCTTTCCACTATTTTTTTTCAATAAAAACTGTCTTCTGCCTTTACCTCTTATCAATAATATAAGTTCCTTGAGATCTCTGTGTCATCTTGGGAAATGTAACTATTTTTTTTCACATAATAAAAAATATTTTTTGTCAGGTTTAAAAATGTTTTAGAACTGTAAAGTCCTTAGGAAAATTCTGGGCATGTGCTAAATATTAATTAAGCACTTTATATTTTAAAAAAATGTACTCTATGATAACTCTTCTCTACTCCTTGGATATAACATCCTTCCTTAGCTCTCTAGGAATATTAAAAATGCT